CTCGACAATTATTTCAGAATTATCACGAATGTTGGACCAGCAGAAGGTTACTCTGAAGGAAACAGTCTTTAGTTTATACAAGGTGATGAACAGGCCACCTACATATCTTGGCAGTTATTGGTGATAGAAACAAATGTGTCACACCAAACTTGCATGCTATTGAGGAGCACATAATGTAATGTAAAATAGAAAAATAGTTTTTTGATAGATGGACGTGTACAGGTCATATGAAAGTCCACTTTGTTTTTTTAAATGGAAACATATTGTTTTATGTACCATCTAGTAGAGCGTTTCAAAAACAAGTCTGTCCATTTAAAAAAACGATATTCACCTTCATATGACCTCTACGCGTCCACCTATAAAAAAACAATTCAAATTATGTGTTGCTTGATACCATGAAAGTTTAGTCAGACATATTTTTTCACTAATAATAGCCGAGACATTCAGATGGCCTGTCTTAGACGCCTCGTATGTATTTTAAATATTCCAATCATTAATCTATAATTTTTTTGCATACAGTTCCTAAGAAACAACTTCTGAGTAATTCATCGATCTCAGATCTTTCATAGTTTTCACCTTCGTCCGCCGAGTCCGTTAGGTCGCATAGATCGCTGCCTGGATCCAGGGTCGGTAGATCCATGACTGCTCTCTTGGCCTACGCGTAAATTCGACGTGTTACATCTGAAATCGATCGTTCTTCGCATCAGAAACTAAAGAATTTTTCACCAGTAATCTTTTTCGTTGGAAGTAACTCCTGCTGGTTGTGATTCCCTTTTTGCTTCTACGTTTCGCCAGTTCGAAGCTTCGAGGCGGAACGAACGTGGGAGTAGGCGGTGGCGCGAAAAGACACTGCGGGGAACCAGCAGAGTCCCTTGCCTCGCAATCCCACGACCCTTCCGTGAAGTCCACCTCTTCTTTTTCAGAATCGGAACTGGCCGAGGTGTCCCCTTCGTCGCTGGAAATTGGAATCGATAATTTGTTCAGACAGGTGCACAGAATAGTTTTCAACGTGATTAACACTGGAATATATCTGTAGTGGACTCTCACTATATTGCCATGGTCGGGGCTGTAGGGGAGTAAAATGGCAATGAATTCAGAGCCCCTTCCATGAGAGCGAATTTGTGTGCACGAAAATACGTGTGAAGGGGAAATGCCTCGCGTGGCAATATAGTTAGAGTCCACTGTACCTGGAGTAGTCGGTCAGGTCGATGTTAGTCGGCTCCTCAGCGCTGGAACCCTCCTTCATCAGTCTGGCAATGATTTTGTTCCGAAGTCTTTCCTTCCAGTCCGGTCAAAGTAATCACAAAATGCCACGGGATAAAGGATCCTGTTCTCTCAGGAAATTTTTTATAACGATTCTATAAGATGTGGAATACCTTGACGGGATCCTGGTCGAAGAAGTCCAACAGAGTTTCGCAGAACACTTTTCCTATCTGCTCGTAGTCCTGAGCAGAGAAGTGAGTACCGGACCTGGAGCCGATCATCGATCCCCCCATCGATGCCTCCATCGTGTAACTGTTTTGCACTCCCATCGACCATACGACAACCCTTCCCGTCCCTTCTTTGCCCTTCTCTATGTGGAACTTGCAGTTCTCGAAGGAGAACTGAAAAGCAATTTGTTATTTCATAATTCACTATTCTCCCGTAAGGTCGCGCTACCAGGTACCTAAATGGGACCTGACAGAGACGATTTTGCTTGGACTTTAGGTAGGCATAGTTATTCGATTTTACGGAAATACTACCGTTACAGAGCCAGTTCCTCGTGCGGTTATTTTTAACGTGTAAATAGAAAAATTCACGAAATCCAAAAGATTTGCTTTTATTCAAGTAAATTTGGTATTAACAAAAAGTGCAAAAATTGACTGATTAGGAACTGGGTCGGTAACGGTATATCATCAAAATCACAGTTTTCAAGTTAACAGTAACAGGTATGGCATCTATCGGTGAAAGTCTCAGATCGTGGAAGCGTTAAAAGCTTGTCCAATACTCGGTCGACACTGTTGATAAGTAATTAATTCTTCATAAAATTCCCATTGGAACGAACGAACAATCGAAATCGGCTCACCTTGTCAGCAGCGTTCTTATGAAGCATCAGAGGGAACACTTGCTCGGAAAGTCTGGTCTGTGGGCTAGACCTCTTGCTCTCACATCCGTACACGAATATGTTGTGCTTCCTGGAGTGGGCGTGTAGGTCGCAGTATATGGCCACGCCACACTCCTCCAGCAGTCGTCGTATCATCAGTTTAGTGTGCCAAACCGAAGGGTAGCTTTCCCTCATCACGGTCCTGTACTGTCTGTTCAGGTCCTTCCCAGATAGGGAGCACCTGTTGTTGCCGACGATTACCCCATCCGGATTCAACATCGGCACCAGCTTGAATACGAATCTCTCTCGAAGGGCCTGTTAAAGATAACACATTGTTTAGGATGATTTGCAGACAAATAACCATAAGTTTCTAATTTTATCTCTGTAAAGAAGGGTAGACTAGATAAAGAAGGTGTAAAATTTGACCAGTTAGATTATCCCTTTCATCAGAAATGGAACATAGATTGCTCAGAATAATAGGAGGATCGTTATCATGCGAGCTTCAATTGCTTCTGTTGAAATTGACATCTTTTGCGTACAATACTCATACCTAGTCTCAATTTTATAACAAAATTTCCAGGAATTATACGTACTATTGGTCCTCTAATTCTTTTGATCAGTGTATTTAGACAGATCTAAGTTCTGTGGATCTGGTTAGGTGCTTTTCCAAAGTGGGAACAATAGATATTCTCTAAATTGCTATACATAAATTGCTATAGGGAATGACATCCTGAAGCTTCATGGCTGATGGTCGATTAAATGAGAAGTCATTCTCTAAGGATACGAATACTAAGCTCCTACCTTGGCTTGGTTCGAATCCCCGGTCAAAAAGTCGATGATCCCTTTCATCGTCCAACTGGAAGGTGTCTCGCCTGGGTGTACCCTGGCTGTGATAACGATGCCCCGTTTTCTTCGCACCTCGTCGTCGTAGGCGGGCGCAGTAATGGTTAAATAGTAGACCCCATTTCCAGCCAGTGTCCGGCAGAGTAGTCGCAATTTCGTGAATCTCGTTTTCACGGGATCTGCTGCCAGTTTGGCGAGGTATTCCTGAAGGTTTGACCATTAGAAATAAAAAATATAATATCAAATATCAATTTAATATATTAAAAATTTAATATAGTATTAAATATTAAAATTTTTAAAACTTAAATTAACGCGTATGGAAATTTTTTCCCCCTCGATCGTACGTCTGACCATCGCTGGTCATATCTACTTAACGTCTGGTCCGTAATGCAATTCTACTGATTGTCTGATCCGCACTGCCTATATCCACTTATTTTCTATCAGACTTTACTGTATTGTTTCGTTGTTAATGATACATCTGGCGATTAATTTTGATGAATCAACTATTTATTATTCATAGTTATTACCTGTAAATCGGTATAAGTGTAAGGGTAACAGTGAGCCAAGTAGACAGTGTCCCTGTCGTGCGGGAAAGAAACGTTGAACGTCAGCGTGTGCTTTTCCTTTTCTTCGTCGTTCCTGAAAATAAAAATCCAGTGAATCTTACGCGGAGGATTGTAGTACGATAAACATGACGAGTCAACGTACGATGAATCGTTTCTGTAATAGGCGATATTGTCGCCGCATCGCCTCCAACCGACAGCCCGTTTTTTTGCGTCCTCGGTTGAGTACAACAGTGGTCGTAAACCTTCGTTGTACAGACTTTCCTCCTTGCAGAGATTAACGATAGATAATCTGCAATCACAGTGAAGTCATTAGGCCAAAGGGTGGCCCAACAAAATATCGACAAAATTAGTAAAAATTTGATTTCCTCCTAATACGAAAATGTCAGAAAGAAATGTCTGCGATTGTCAGTCATTAGGCCAAAGGGCCAACAAAATGTCGACAAAGTTATTAAAAATTTGATTTCCTCCTAATACAAAAATATTTGTTAAAAATTCATATTCTATGGGGTTCTTAGTATGTACTTTTGACCAAGGCTGTACATGTACCTGTTCTCGTCTCATTGAAAAAGAGATATCCCACGCGATTCATAATTGAAACCCTCACCTGTACGTTGTTCTGCTCTTCGTGTTCGATATCCTGAAGTAGTACCACTGTGTGTGCCGTTGCGTGTACAGATCCTTTCTGAGATATAACTGATAGTACGTGTCGGTGATCTTCACGACCTTAGACAAGTTTCCAGACTCGAAACGCGACTCGAAACGAAGATCACTGTTGTTCTCTGCGATCGTGTCGGGGGATCTGGTTATTAAATAAAAGTTGCTATCCGTGTCGACGACTTTCGACTCGTTGCCGATCGAATCATCAGGAAATTCCGTTGAAAACGGCAGAACCGTGCTCCCGCCCACGCAAGACCTGCTGATCTGTTTAACGTTTCGTCGAGGCAAATTGTCAACCATCGTGGAATGCAATTACGGCGTTAACGTTGATTTATAGAAAATCAATGGTGACTCACGTAATTCGTGATACTGGTCGGATAGTAGCGGAATACCACCGTTCCGAACTCGTCCCCTAATGGTTTTGGTCGTGGTTCTTTTCCAGTTGGCACGTAGAACGGTTCTGGAACGAGTGGCGCGTATTCTATGTGTCGCAGTGGAATAGTTAGAAAAATTCAAATGTATCCTTTTTACTATTTGACAAATTTATTCTTAGATTTAAGAAATTATAGTAAAGAAAATTTATTATATTAGTTCTAGATTATAGTCTGACAAAAATTGTATGGTTACTTTGAAACCTTAATCCTTTAGATAACGATTTATTTGAAAAAAAAATATTGCATATAGAACAAATTGAATTTTTTATTGCTTGGAGTAATATGTAAAAGCAATACACTTTATGTAATATCTCATTTATTTCTAAAAAAATTAGTGACATACGTAGTGTTGAGATGACTTCAGGTAATTGAAATTGCAAAATAAATTTTGAAAACACAAGAACTGACATGAACAAGAATGCACATGTTAAATATTTTCTCAACTCGAATGAAGAGTTAGACAATAATAAAAATGTATCCAAGGGGTTAATTATGATACCCTGTTATCACTTTTTCATAAAAGTTCATACAAACAAAATGGAGAATAAAAATATAAGAAGATGGATTTGTTCACAATTTTTTTATATTGTTTCGATCCATTACGAGATTGTTTATTTTACCTGACATTCCGTGGGCCATCTCGCAGCTTCCTGCGTGACTCCATCTATCATGCAGCGGGTGTCCAAAGCATTTCGGAGGCTCTCTTTCGACTGTTGATCTTCTCTGGTGCCGAACGGCGCCGAGAACTGTATAAATTCTGATTCCCGTCGTTGCACCTCGTGTTGTCCCAGCTGCAATAGTTGCAACTCTTGCAGCCTCTGAAAGTTCGTCAGCGCGCCGCCTGCGATAATTTCAATATCTAAATGATCATCGATATATCGAATCTTTTCCAGTATTATCAACGTTCATATTGAGTCTTTGTGCACAATTAACCCTTTGACCGAGATAAGTGCTTTTAGGTGTTCTTCGATTTTGCTAACAAGAAATTCAAAAGTGACCATTTTTGTGTGACCATTTTGATTCTTCTGCGATAACTACAGTTGTTATGTTCCCTAAAATTTGTATAGACAATTAGATATTTTTTAAAATTATTTATCAACGAAGAATATCGTACACACTGAGCGTCCTGTCTCCGAATGGTTAAGGATTAAGTTGATGCTACATATTCGTTGTTACAATATTTTCCAAGAAGATTTTTGTGAATGCTGTATCTACATTTACATAACGACCGTTTTTTAGAAATGATAAATCTCAGTTGAAACGACCAATTACAAAATATTTGTAAAAAAATTACTTTGAAATTGTTGTGTCAGTTCAGAACTTGTTATATTTACTTATGTAAAAGTATAATAGAAACTTCGTACGAACAAATTTCATTTTAGGCATTTGGCTTATTTTTTCACAAAGAATAATTCTATTACACTATCAATGACAGAATATAACTATACAGAAACGACATATTAGACTTATATAAAGGTACGATTACCAGGAATCGGTTGAACCGGAAAGAGCATGGCTTGAAGTTCTTTGACCCTGCTACCGGCCACAAGATCCGTCATTTTTCGTTATCTCACGTCCCCGTCAACTCCTTTGTCCTCCTCCTTGTTGTTTTCTTCGTCATTTCCCACCTCCGAAGTTTCTTCCTTTTGCGGATCGTCGAACCGTTCCTCTTCACCAACGTGTTCCGGTAATTCGAGGATTCTTCCGTCCAGAATACAGGTTGCCATCGCACTCTTCATTTTCCTAGACCTTATTCGGAATTTTCAACTTCGAATTCTCCTTGTCGATTCGGAATTCCCTGAGTCGAATTCACGATTCGGAATTCTGAAATTCGAATTTCCGATTCGGAATTCTCAAATAGAAATTCTCGATTCGGAATTCCGAAATTCAAATTCCCAATTCGGAAGCCTGAAACACGGATTCTCGATTCGGAATTTTCAAATTCAAATTCCCAATTCGGAATTCCGAAATTCTAAATTTCCATTTCGGAATTCTGAAGTTCGAATTCCCGATTCCGAACGTCTCTTCAACGGTGATGCATGTTCTTCCTTCCAACGATCAACCGGCTGGCCAAGCGGAGAGACTCGCGATCCCTCCCCGGTTGGATCGCTATCACACGGCGGATCGACCGGGCGAACTGCGAGCAGGAACTTTGCCCTCGGCGAAGACGAATTCCCGATATGCTGCCCCCGTCGATTGCCTGACAACGGGCGAAACGGGGGGCGGAGCCAGTGGCCCCACGACCGATTGGTTGTTTCCCTCTCGTTTTCAACGGGGCTCGTCCACCCGGTATCGCCACGCGAAGAAAGTTCGTTTATCGATCTTTTCTCATGGTCCCCCCGCTATAGAGGCCTCTGGCTCATATCGATCGCGAAACGCACCGACGAATTACGCGATTAATCGTGTACGAATCTGTCCGTGAACGTTTTCGAAAACTTTCGGCGAGGCAGGCTACTTTGAAACATGAGCGGATTGTAGGATCGTTTTTACGTGGCTGACTTTGAACTTGAAGATAGTTCGGTATATGCATTCCTTATAGTTCGCTAAGATCAAGCTGGCTGAATAGATATAGTTGTGAGTATGGAATTTTTCGTGGATAGAATGCACTTTTTATACATATAGTTTTATTGGATGCTATGATAATTGCGATGGAATATTAATTTGATGGTAACTTCATGGTAATTAGTAGAATAATTTCAATGTAATGGTTTCGATATTGTCATTCGGATCAAATTTATACGAATACTATTGTAAATTGTATATTCTTTTTACGATTTTTCAATAAAAAACAGTCACATCATACATATGCATTATTCATTAATACCGAACTATCTCCACTCCTATTCCTAATATCAATTAACCAAAAAAGTAATAAGAAATAAGAAATAATAAAAAAAGAATTAATTCTAAAACTTTTAAGTTTTGGAAGAAGTTCTGGAATTAGTTCCAATTTTCGCCACGAAAGTGGTGGGGGCGCCACTAAATGTCCCATAAATTCCCAAATTTTTTCCGGCATTTTTCTGAATCCAAGATGTCGGAAAAACCTGCAAGTTTGTGGGGGTCTCTAGACGCCCACCAAGGCACTGACTAACTCCACTTTTTGGATTTCTTCAAATTTCACGCTAAAGCACCTGAGTGGTGCTTAATTGTTTATTCTATCAACTGAATGTACACATGTGTGCCAGTATTCCCCAAAAAGTTAAATATGAATTTAAAAAAAGAAATTAAATTATTACATATTACATTTTTCCAAGATATCGATATCTTTGCTCAGACAGAAAATTCCTTCGTTCGCCGCGTGAATTCCACCCATTCCCAAAAGCGAATCCGTTCTATAGCAACGTGTCGGGGAACTATGAATTAATTCGAAGGAATCCCCCTGGCAGTTTCCTTCGAGGGTGCACAGACATTCTTCCGTCGTGGTCGCACGAACCAGTCGAGCGACTCGTCCCCCTCTTTCTCTCTCTCTCTCTTACGGGTTGCTTCAGAAAATTATTGATCAATCAACGTTCGTCGAAGCAGACTCGCGAACAGAGACCGTTTCGCTGATGTTTTCGTCGGCTGAATATCCTTCACGGTGGATCAATGAGCTCGCGATTGATAGCACGGAATCGATCGGTGGTGCGTTAACGGCGGCCATTATTCGTCCCGGATAGAGAACTTCAACGGTAATTGACTTCCGTTCAAAATTTACACTGCACATTTATCATTACAGGCCTATATTCGTAACTTCGAGCTTTTCATCCTTGGTCCGAGTATTCCAAGAGAACGATGGGTCGCACGGTGACGGTCGCGGTATGCACACTGAACCAATGGGCGATGGATTTCGACGGGAATTCCAGGAGGATCCTGCAGAGCATCCAGGAGGCTAAGGACGCTGGCGCTACTTACAGAAGCGGGCCAGAGTTGGAGATATGGTAAATTATATGTATAAACCTTTAGTGGATGGGCAGGTTTTCTCGTGACTTTTTATATTTACAAGTTAAAACATTTATGTATTTGCTATAGTGTTATATTACGAAAAATAAGCGATCCCTCTGGAGCCTAAAAATGAGCTTCTCATCCTCTAAAGCTTAACCCCTCGTCTTACCAGTTTCTTAACGTCTACAGTTTCCAGAATTACTGTATTGCTGCTGGTTTCTCTGAACAATTCTGTACTTATCGCAAGTGTACATTTCCTCTAAACGTTAAATATTAATATCAGTGAAATAATATTTTACTTCGACTCTAACGCAGACTATTCTTGCAACATATCGGTCCCTTTGTATCATTAAAATTGCATATAAACAATTTGTTGTACCATCACAATAGAAAAAGAATATGTACATGGCCTTATTTAAATGGACCACCCTGTATACTAAAACTAGCAGTTTATTTCTATCTGCACTTACCTATAGGTATATCAGAGTTGAGCTAATTGTAAGATTCTTCAGTGACCTGACACTAATGATACTACACTTTTATTTTCTATAATTTTTTATACGAACATGATTGGTCGAATGCGTCTGTATTTTATACTTTTCGATGTATAACAAATGGATCACAAAGGGTTACCACACTGATTTCGTTTAACAGCGGTTACAGCTGCGAGGACCATTTCTACGAGCCAGATACTTTGCTCCACAGCTGGGAAGTGCTCGCAACGATTCTGAAGTCGTCCACTGCCGAGGACATACTGATAGACGTCGGTATGCCGGTTATGCACAAGAACGTGACGTACAATTGCAGGATCGCCTTCCTGAACAGACGAATTTTGCTCATCCGACCGAAGATGCAATTGTGCGACGACGGGAATTACAGGGAATCCAGATGGTTCTCCATGTGGACCAAGGTTGTTCAATAGAACGATTCAATTTTTGTTTTGTCATATAGACAGATAACGATGAACCTCATCTTATAAGAAAATAAGGCGAAATTGTTGAACAATATTTTTTTATACAAGGCTTCGAATAAAGAAAATTTTCGACCAGGACTATGTCTGACTATTGGTCTCTATTTCTACTTGTAAACTTCGGCGTGGTACAGAACTGTCTGTGTTCCATCGACTGACATGCGATTGGTTCAATATGTATAACTAACAAATTATAAGATTTCACCTAATAAAAGACTAGTTAACATCACCTGTTACTTGAGAGTGAAATTATTACAATTTTTTTGAGACTTCATTTTCTAATTATCAATTTTATATTAAATTGTTAGAAATAATATCACACCATTAGCAGTGTTTATTGAAATTGCCTTACCTGCAAACAACAGTATAAAAATTGTCATAATCTCGCTCTCAGGTAAGTGTCTTCGTAGACTTTTGTTAGGTGAACCCTCATAATTTGCCAATTATAGTGCTGGAATAATTATTCCGAATGTTTTTTCAGGAACGCACAGTGGAGGACTACTTCCTGCCGCGAATGATATCTCAAATAACCGGGCAGACAGTGGTGCCGTTCGGCGACGCCGTGATATCTACAAGGGACACGTGCGTGGGCTTCGAGATCTGCGAGGAGCTCTGGAACCCTATGAGCAATCACATCCCCATGTGCATGGACGGTGTCGAGATTATCGCGAATGGTAGCCTGGAATCTATATTAAAAAAAATCTCCCTTCAAGGGTACAGTTAACGCAATTTCTTATGCTTCTTTATAAAGGCAGTGGATCGTATTTTGAGCTTCGAAAGGGATACGTCACCGTGGACCTCGTGAAATCCGCTACATTCAAGTCTGGGGGTTGTTACATGTTCAGTAATCTGCGTGGCTGCGATGGTGGCCGATTGTATTTCAACGGTGGATCCTCCATCACTCTGAACGGACAGATCCTGAATCGTGGGAAGCAGTTCGCTCTGGATGACGTGGAAGTCGTAGTCGCTACTTTTGATTTGGAGAATATAAGGTTTAAAATTGATCGACTTAACGCTTTCAGCTCGACGGCTATAGTACTGCGCTAGTATTAAGTCACCCTCCAGCATTTATGGCATAGTGAATCCTCCAGATGTGACTGGACATTTATGTTCTTTTGGTCTGTCTCGATTGTCATTATTTTTCTCTGTCAAAGGCCTGCCTACTACTGGTTAACGCCATGGGATAATAGGGATACCAATGCAATGATATGGGGGCGACAGAGTAGGATCTTATGGGGAAATATTGTACGTAGTTAATAGTAACTACTTAGTATTATTGCTACCGCGCATTCAGAAGCTAGGAAATTAGTCATGACATAAGTTTTTGCATTTGTAAATTCTTGTCGGGCTAAAAGCGTTAATGCTGTTTCCAATTGACTTATAAGCTCCGAGACGATCATCGAATTTCCGTGACAGGAGTTACAGGAACAACATCAGGTCGCGTTCTCACGCGGCTGCCAGATCGCCGAGTTACCCCCGCGTCAAAGTGGATTTCGCTCTTACTTCCGACAACTTGATTTCAAGCCCACCGGACCGACCAATGGACGTTGACTTGGGCCCCTACGAGACCGAGCACGTAACAGGGAAGCTTGTCTATCACACGCCGGAAGAGGAGATATCTATGGCGCCTGCCTGTTGGCTTTGGGATTATCTCAGGTTCTTAAAATTCTTTTAGGAGTCCAATCAAGTCAACATAGTGGGCGTTTGCAAATGATGTAGTGTCGGTAGTCAAACAATGTAGAGTGTGAACACACTGTCACATTGTTATTTAGAAGTAGTACTTGGGCTCCAATAGTAGCTATTAATTTCTCAAACTACGGTGTATCATGTCTCCTAAAAGGCGTTCCTGTCAGGGTGGATTCTTCCTACCCTTAAGCGGCGGAGTCGACTCCGCCTCTTCAGCGTGTATGGTATACTCCATGTGCGACATGATCGTGGATTCAGTGAACAAAGGAGGTAATGCTTCGTTGTAATATTTCCAACACTATATAAAGAAATGTGTCTAACGCAATGTTGTCCGGTCAGACACTCAAGTGCTTTCGGATATCAGAAAGATCGTCGGTGATTGCGAGTACGTGCCAACGGATCCGAAGCAACTGTGCAACACCATTCTCGTCACGTGCTACATGGGTACTGAAAATTCATCGGCCGAGACTAAAGCACGGGCAGCCGAACTGGCCGGTCAAATCGGCTCTTACCATCACAGTATCGTGATCGACGCGGCGATCTCTGCTATTCTGACCATTTTCCAGCAAGTCACCAAGCTGGCGCCGAGGTTCAAAGTCCAAGGAGGATCTCCTCGAGAGAATCTAGCTCTACAAAATATACAAGTCAATATCTATTCCCTAATTTGCACGTCTAGCAATAGCCACAGATCAAAGTCATGTTGCGTTATAATCCCTTTCGAAGGCACGTTTGCGAATGGTAATCGCTTACTTGTTTGCCCAACTGATGCTGTGGGTCAGAGGCCGGCCCGGTGGCCTTCTTGTGCTCGGTAGCAGCAACGTTGACGAAGCGCTTCGAGGCTATTTCACTAAATACGATTGCAGTAGTGCCGACATCAACCCAATAGGTGGAATTGCCAAGAATGATCTAAAATCGTTCCTCGCTTATTTCAGGTCAGTTATTAAAATACGATGAGAATATTTTTGGCAATGTTGCCTTAGTATAAGCTGTTGTAAAATAACTGTCGAATCTTTTTAGGCGGAAGCACAGTTTATCCGCGTTGGACGGAATTTTGGATGCCCCGCCGACCGCGGAATTGGAGCCTCTTCAAGGAGGACAACTCTCTCAGCTGGACGAAGTTGACATGGGTATGACGTATAAGGAACTTGGTACTTTCGGTCGTTTAAGAAAGCAGGACTGTGCAGGCCCGTTCACAATGTTCTGCAGGTTGGTTCACATGTGGGAGAAATGTTCTCCGAAAGAGGTAAGCACAGTCACGGTAGCCATCAAGTACTCTGCGTTAAGATGCACAAAGTTAATTTGGCGAATTTGAATTCGATTGTAGGTGGCGGACAAGGTGAAACACTTTTACAGGTGTTACGCGATCAATCGACACAAAATGACCATCTTGACACCGTCCTGTCACGCGGAGACCTACAGTCCTGACGATAACAGATTCGACCACCGACCCTTCCTCTATAATCACACCTGGAAATGGCAGTTTAATGCGATCGACGATCAGGTGAGCCGTCGGAACTCTGGATAGAATTGATCGTTGAAGGTTACATTTGTCATTACAATACCGTCTGTTCAATATTTCCTGGCAATTCATAGAAACTACTATTAAGTTTAGCTTCTGTCTGTCTCGCAACGCGTCAACGACTTGTGTCTGGAAATGTTTCAATATTAGAATAGACGTCAAGTGACTCTGAATGACCAATAATGTTTGTTTTTATTACATCAAAGCGCATTTTAAAGACCAAGTATCAAACTTTTCAGGTGAAACGTCTTCTCTACGAGGAACCGCGAGCTCGAAAGGACGCTCCGAAGATACCCGCGAAGCCCAGATACATGCCGTTCAGCTCCGTGATTAGTAGTGAGTAAAAAAAAAAACCACCCAAGTGTGCGTTATCGGTGACGAAGCTCGAATCGTGGGCCAGACGAAAGGGTCACGAGTAATCGTCTCCGCGGAGAGCGATTTCCTTCCGTGTGTGTCTACCGAGCTGCACAGCTATCACTGATGACAAAATAAAAAAAAAAAAAAGAACACACCCACAAAATGACTAATCGAAAGCGCTGGAGAGTCGGAGTCAGGCGGGCCGCCGAGACACGACCATCCTGTGATTTTGCCCCCACCGTGAATAAACACACGTTCTCGACCGCCCCTCTGCCCGAGGAGTCATCATCACAACGGCGTCATTCTCTGTTGCAGATAAAACACATCCCGGAGTAGTAGTTTAAACCGTAGCAGTGTAGCTCTCTCTGTCTCTTATCATTTTGACATTGCAGCTGCGCGAGCGTACCGTAACGCGACATCGATAGGCGATCCTACGCGCAACCTATGGTGCCGTTCCATTGGCGTTTATGTTACCGTTAGAGATCGATCGTCGAGGAAGCCCGGTTTCCGTTTCGCCGTCGACAGACTCGCGAGACGGAGGATCCTGTGACTCATACATTGTATTATATTAATGCAACCAATGAGTGGAAGTATAAGCATCACAATGAAATATGAAATTCAATATATATATATATATATATATATATATATATATATATATATATATATATATATATATGTATGTATTTATGCAGAATCGTCGAGTTGATTTCTCTTACCAAGTACCGATACTATTACTGTAATATCACTGTATAAAGTGTCTAACAAGGGACAGTTCGGAAGTGCGTATTGCCTATTTTGATGAAATAGGGATATGGAGGTAATCGATTTAAATATACGAGACATGTTGGAGTCCTCAAAGTTGAGGATGGGAGATTTATTTTGTCGAATGTCTCAGAAATTAACTACTGGACGAACAATTTTAATTGCAAAAATCGACGAGTCTACCATCTAATCTATCTTTCAAGTTTAGTCGTTTATACTGGCTGAGTTTGTTATCAAGAATTATTTGAATACATAAACTGAAGCAAAGAAGTTTTCATTATATACATACACCTGGTATATTGAACTGAAATTTGGTGCTAACTACGCACCACCGTGCTAAATAATAGACCATGCTCCAAGAGTTGGATGCGTTGATGTGAAAGCGGATAGAGGATGTTCAGTAGAAGAAACTGAAAAACGGGCACGCGGATGCATATAATATTAATTTTATTATCTTTTCCATTTCTACATATACAGACAGTGCGTATCCGCATTTCATTACGGTTAGCATCAATTAATGACGATCGGGTTAAGAGATGGATCGATACTCGGACGATGGTTGCTCGAAAATTTTTTTAAGTCTCCCAAACGTATGTATATGATATACACAGTATATTGGACAGTCGTGCTAGACACGCTTCTCTTTTCACGCTCACAATCAAACTCGCACACGCATACGTGGAACGCATTTGCAACCCACACACACCTACACATTCGAAGATTTCACATTTACACAATACCGACTCGATCTTCCACGCAACAAAGAAAAAAAAGAAAGGAGTCGTTTCTGCTGACGAAGAATTAACGACGATATACATATATATTTCTATGTATATATATCTATATATATATAAATTTATATATTAATTAATAACCACAATCATTAATCGAGCAGCGATAACGATATCAATAATAATATAATAATAATTGCAATAGTACTAGTGGGGTGATAGAAGAGTTACGGCGCGTCGCTGCGCCAAACGATGGAGTAGCTTGTTGGTGAATATTGATGTAAAACGCGATAGCAGGTATAAATTGTTGGATTCGACTATTATTTATGATAATGAGAGAATATCTATGCGCTACTTGTTTCAGACAATACTGGACGTAAATTAAATAAGATATCATGATAGAAATCATAAGAATATATAATATATATATATATATATATAATATAATAATATAATAATATTAGTAAATAAAATATTATCCATGACGACGAACAGATTGCGACGAGAAGTACCATTGTCCTTGAGTATTGCCAAGGGGAAATACGCGTAGATAAAATCCGATCTCTCGCGCGATTACTATACAAGTTTCGGTATACGTTATCGATACGAAAATAAAATAAAATATAGAAGATAGAAAGAAAGACAAGAACATAAAAAAAAAAAAAAAAAAAAAAGAAAGGTACTGATACAATCGCAGGTTAAGACTCTGTTTTATCTCGTGCAACCCGACTAACACTTTTTATATACTATGTACAAAAACATTTCACCCGATTTATTTCGCCGGACGAACGCGCTTTGCCGTTGGTTCCGTCGCGTGGTCGGAAACCCGTAGTAGTAAACGATTTCGACGTTATACAAAATAACACAAATTCTACACATCTACCTACGAAGAATTAACTATGTACATTCGATCGCGAGCTTAGCGTTATTCGGACAAAAGGCTCGAAATATACACTTTCAGACGGTTCGCCGACGGTCGAGATCCGTTCATATATTTCACGGAGACTTATTCTATTTGGACTTTCAATATTCCTACGAATTTTCGAAACGCCTTCGATATACAAGAATTTCTAACCACGTCGAAAGATATCCCGTTCCCTGTCTCTTCATCGACACAGGTCTGGTTCGTTCTTGTATCATCGATTCACATGAATCATTAATCGTCGATCGTGCACACTTCACACACTCAGCACCCGATTCGCCCCTTACAAGTACATATACCCGTTTCGCGGACTGTAATTCGGCTTGCTACCATTCTATCCTTGCTATCGCTACCTATATTACCGGGATTTTTGCTTATACGCTCGCGAAATGTCGCGAGTACCTCGCTCCCTGTGGACGGCCCTGAAGGCCGTTTCGTCGCCGTGACGAGGGTCTGAACCGAGTACCCCCTCCACGTGCGTCCACACCCACGTGTCGTCCCCGAACTAAAAAATATGCCCTACCACCGTAGAATTGCACGAAACCCCATTTTGTGTGTCTGTGTGTACATTGGTGCACGGCTCCCCATTTTTTCTGCTATATTGAGCTACACATGACGCCTCGAAGACGCCCATTTTACGGCTATTTCAGGTCTAAGGCGCCTTTAAGCCGTCTTCAAGGCGTCATGTGTTATCTGAGTTTTCGAACGTCTGCTATAAACGAGTAGTCACGACGTTCGATCAACGTTGCTCTTCGGTTTAGAATTTTCGGTTTCTGTGAAACTTTTGGTATCGATGTTCGAATCTTTGTCGGGATGATATTGGATATTTTATTCTTACATCGACAAATACAAGGTGATTCGTGGCGAGTGTGCTTTGACGCAACCGTTTAAGAATCATTCGAATCCAATACTCGAGTAGTTGAACTTCGTACGAGTGATCCAGTGTCTGAAGTTTAAATAATACAATTTCCGTGCTTAGTACGCAACTGAATTCTAAATAAATAATATATTGTTTTGTTTTGGATCAATTCCATAAAGGTCATTCGAGAGCTTTTTTTTAAGATAGTATAGTTATGAAATGTGATCTATGGATCATGGATGTACATTTTGCTCGGAATGACCTTCCAAATAAACTATCTACTTTTTTTTCACACTAGCTTTGGATCACCTTGCATATTGTTTCGTTGGAAATTTTAGAACTGAACGGAATTTCAAGAAGAATCATCCAGACTGTACACAGACGAACATAGTCCTCTGCGCCAGCACGACTGAACAAAAGCCACCAATCTCTTCTACCTTCTGATTACTAAAAATAAGTTCCATAATCGTATTCTACTAACCGGAAGTCGGAAGGAGGTTAGTTCCGGCGTCTTTCGTTCACTCGTGACAGAACGACAGAAATGTGATATTCATCGGCGAACGATTCAGTTAACAAAAATAAGAAAAAAAGGATTCGAATCGTGTCTAAAACGGCAGAAAAGCACCGTGTGAGAAAGTATATGCGTGTGTGTCGTGTGTGTCGTGTAATCTCTCACTCCCCACCATTATCGGTGCGTACCCCCATGAAAGAACCAACGTGTGCAAAAAAGCGAAATCTCGTGCGCGGAGGAGCGAGTTATAAACGTGTGTGTCTTTTATCATATCACAGATTTCCCAAGGTGCGTACCGATAGGCATCTATTTAATTATAGAAAAGAATCATCGCTGGCGGCGTGTTCCTCGAACGCGTCAGTCAACGAGGAACACAACGGTCGACGGAAAGAAACAACAAAAAAAAAACGAACATGGCTACCTCGAGACCGTAGGGCGTTTCCTATCGATGGAGTATAAACATACAACCACAGTATAGGTATAGCTTTATAAGGTTATACTTAAATATACTGTGATACAACGTTTTGTATCTGATTGGTCTCGGGGTAACAGGTTCGGCAGAGCGTCCGACGTCGCCTAACCTAAAGGACGTCGAACGCTCCATTTGCGTAATTCTCTCTCACCCTCCGAGTCGGAAAGCAACGTAACTTGCCATTTGTCGCTTGAAAAAAAAATAAGAAAAATCGTTCCTCCATTTCTCGGGCGAGGAACCACCTCGACCACGAGAATGGTGCGGTCGTCATTCCTGAAACGTTCGATCCGAGTCTTCGGGTGTATACTTGTTCGCGGCTGACAAGGGGGCTCGAACGACATCCGGTTTGCCCCGGGCCCGTCGAAAGTTTGCACGCGGTTGGTCCTTACTGTAAACGTTAAGGATATTTACAATTCAAGGACGTTTGAGATAATCGTACTCAAAGTGTCGTACTTTCTGTACTATAAATGTGTCTACACGCAACATTACTGGCCTCTACGAAGATGGTAACTGTATGTTTCTCTGTGCTACTGGATAGCACATGACGTAATTTGATCTCGAATGGGTGCAGGTAACTCATACAGAACTTTTGTTGACTATACGTATACATATGTCTCTAAAACCACAGACAAATGTTTTCAGAAGACAATACAGCCCCGTAAAAGTTTGTCGTACAAATTGAGCCATGTTTCGTCCAGTAATATTACGCGCAGCACCGTATCTTGGTGTACAGAAGATACAAAACTTCGAAGACAAAACTATCTACGAAATTCAGAGTATTATTATACAGCATGGGGTCGCGTGTAGGATTCGAAACCACCGAATATCGTCCGGCTGCCCTGTCAGATAATTTCCGTTTAGTAACCTAAATAGCATAGCTTCTATACACATACACGTACATATACATATATACCTAGAATCGGTAAGAAGTAACGCGAGAAATGACCGCGTTTCTTGACATCAAGGAAACCGCCGTGTACACGAGGGCCGTGTTTCCCTGTGCCCCGTGGGTGTTCCAAGGTTCCCCAAAGATCCAGCCCCCGAATCGTCTCGCGGCTGTCAACGAATTCCGCTCTGAATTTCTCGGTGAATATCCCCCCGATCGTCATCGGGCCACGATGCCATCTCGTGTGTGTCACCGTTGAAGGGCAGCCCCACCTGCAGGTACTTTTCGCGCGACGCGTTTATTCCGGGATCCGTCCGACGGCGATCCGGTCGAGTGGCCGAAATCAACGCCACCTAGAAGCCTCCTTCTCCGCCTCGTCCTCCGTCATCTAGCTCCGTTTGGCCCCCACGTGTGGTCTGTTCATCAGGAGCTGGTAGCCCGACCCAAATGCAACATCGTCGTGGCTCGTCGAAGGGGCGCTTCGAGGCTTTTCGAGGCAGACTTTACGCAGCTCTCCGTATTCCGTGTGTCCGGTCGCAACAGGCCACCCTGAAGAGTTACACGACCAAGAACAATTTCGTGTTCTTGCATCTGGTATTCTTTTGTTTTTTTTTTTTTTTTTTTTTTTTTTGTTCGACTATCGGACCGTTTTCTCTGGCTCGTGTGTGTCATCGTCTCGATATACTTTTTTTAGCCGAATTTTTCTCGGTTCCGGTATACACCTCGCAACGAAAGTATGTAAGTACTCCGTTCTCGTATTTCTCGGCGTTCGTTCCTTCGATCGAACGTACCCCTTTCCCGAAACCACCCCTACCCCCTTCGATTCCTAACCCCGTTAACATTCTCGACACGAATTTATGAGAGATAATCGAACGAACGGGTCCTAACGAATCTCTTCGCATCGAACGTAAGCGAGATCACGCGTAAATACGACACGCGTAGTGCTAAACCGTCATGCTCGAGTTTTACTTTAGTCGCGGGTCTACGTGCGCACCTGGAGCAACATGTTGGCGAAATTGCTGTTTGTGAACTTGAAGTGTCGCTTATCGTAGAACTTTAGCAACGCCGGGCTGTACGGATGCTTGTCCTTCAAGTGGAGGTAGTGAACCTCTGGCTCCTGCGTCGTGTGACCGCACTCCTCGCATACGTAAACCTGCAAAACACGAAACACCAACATTAGGTCAAACTTCCATTACGTGAAACCCATAAAATCGTGACGTAGGAACCGCAAAGAATTACTCAATGTCCACAAAGTGTTTCTAGTTTCGTCACCACCTGAATCCCCTTTCTTTCCCCTGATAAGTCTAGGGTACAAATTCCAAACGGCACGATAAACGATAAAGTTCCGTCACAAAACTGTCTTTCAGGATATTTCTTGATTGAATAATCAGAACGTTACTATTGACCACTCAAGGTTGTTTTTCTAACTGTGCATCACATCTGGTATGATTCCTTCTTTACGACCATGACTTCTAGTACTGGAGCAAAATGGGGAACAAACGAGTTTCTGTAGCTCTGGTACTTGGGCGAAGGTGTGGTGGGGATAACTGGTAAGTATGGTGGGAGTGTGGCTCTGGGTGTGGCCTTGAGCGGTTAACTGCTTGCATTCCAATTTCCCTGGTGCTATTCCGTGTAAATGCAATGACTACGCACTTCCCGAAATGATAATTCTCCCGACAAAGTTATTTTTAATACAGTGTATCAACTAAGCATTTTAAAAAAATAATGTAGACGATGGGGGAACCGCCGTGGCCACCGAGCACACGTACAGTGTACAGAAGGATTATATCTATTCTTTATTTGTTGGATGTTTACCTTTGTACGCCGCTCCTTGTAGGCATACTGGTGCTGAACACCGTGAACTTTAAGGCAATGACTTTCCAGGGAGCATCTCTGCGTGAAGCTCTTCTCGCAGAGGTTGCACTTGTACGGTCGCACGCCCGTGTGCGTCCTGGTATGCCTCTTCAAGTCGAACGTGTCGTTGAAACCTTTGCCGCAGAACGTGCACAGGTAACGCTTCACGTCGCTGTGGCATTTCATGTGTCGGTTCAGGAGCCGTTGCAGGCTGAAGTTTTTGCTGCAGACGCGACACGTGAAACGGTTCGGATCGTCGTCCTGAAACATCGACATAAACGTGTTTACCATATTTGTCTGATCGTTTGAAAGACAATCATTCTATGAATGGAGTAAACTTAAATAACGGGGGAAAATAATAGTGAAGTATTCGTAGGAAGATTAAGAGGTCTTTGTGTTCTGAACTTCCCTAAATTGGAAGTAAGGATTTTAATCCACGGTCCCTGGATCTATTATTTATCTAGTTGTTCGAAAGCTTTGGCAAAATGTTTCCTTGTCACTTTTGCGATGTTTCGGAGAAATACATTCAAAATTTCAGATGATAGATGAGTAGGGCGCCAAATGGACCCAGGTATGACCACCCACGCGTTTCCCTTATGATTGTTTAAACCTTAGTATACAAAAGTATTTAATAAACTTTTATGAGGTATGTGTTTTATTTGGAAACTCTACTCATGAGTATCAGTGTTTTGAAACTTGATGGATATTAAATGTTAAAGTTCGCGTTGAAGCTGCGAGGATACACACAACCGGGAAAAAGTGCTTGGTTATAGTTCCCCCGCTGAATGTTAATCGTTCTCTAATCGGTGACTCGAATCTAGGTGTGTTCAATGCTCTAAATCTAAAAGTGCCAGGCATACTAATCGCGCGTGGAGTTAATAAAACTGAGAATAAACGGTGAGGAAAGGCGTTACAGAATGACGTTTACCTTGCCAGGCGGAGGTCGGGCTGCCCTCTCTTCCTCGCGGGTAGCCGCCGCCTGTCTCTGACCCTCGATCGCCAACGGATTCTTGATCCCGTGACCGCCGTTAACGAACTCCAGCTGACAGTCACCGGGAAGCCCGAGCTGAAACGGAAGAAAACAAAACCGTAAATACTTCTGGTTTCCGTCGGAGACTGGCTGCTTCGGTTCGATTGGTTCTACTTGGATGAAGCACTCAATTTGATTGGCATTGCATAGGCTACGTCGCGTGACTCAATTTTTATTGAGTTTCATTCGGTTCAACGGAACACCTCTGATTCATCGAGACTTTTAAACGTCCATGTGGCAATGTTATCGTTTCCCAAACGTTTCGTACAGTTACGTTTTACAAAGCAAAAAGATGACCAAAGAAGAACTCATATATTAATAATTTCAGAAAGTAAGTAGCACACAAACTCCATTGTAAAATTAGTAAGTATTTTTTAGTAATATTCGTCCAGTTGGAACGTTAATAAAGAAACGACTGTCGAGACAGAATTTATGAAGATCAACTAGAATGACATAGACGAATAGAGAGACTTGAAGAATAAGAATATAATGCGAATATAGATATTTTATTCAGAAACGTGGGGACAACAGTGCCATATAGATTCGAAATGGTCATCTGCGACCTTGGTTGTCGAGAAAAAGTATGCCTTTGCCTGGATCAATCTCGGGTGCTTACCCTTTGCTGTAGTACACCGACCCGTTGCGTCAGTGGTGGTTCGCCGACCGGTCCGGTTTGTTGGACGGAATTTACCGAAGCGGACGACACTGTCCCGGCTGGGCTCGGCGCGTGTTCCATCAGCGCGCAAGATGGCGACGTGCTGCTCGAGGCTGCGTCCAACGAACAGCTAGCTGCACCCGGACTCGGCAGGCTTCCGCCTACGCTGCTACCTGAATCTAGTTCCAGACCTGACAATAAATATTATCGATCGTTTCAAGACATATTCAAAACCGTGTAGTATTGAATTATTGGGATAGGTCTTTCCAGATTACAACGCGATAAGCAGGGAATACTGCATTTTAGTTAGACATAAGGAAGTGTTTTTCACTTTCTCTCGCGGCAACAGACTATATCATTATGCTAATCCTTCATATTCCTCGATACGGTAAGATTGAAAATTCTACAAGTTGAAATTCTTTGATCTCTCGATTGTTTTAATAACTACAGGTGATCTATAAATATCTGAACGCTAGTAAAATTGTTCGTTGGAATTCTGTGAAATAGTTTGAAACGCAGGTACCAAGATATATCACAATGAATAGGTACTAACCGCTACCAGTGAAGCTCAATCCCGGACTGAGCAACCCCTGGTGTTGTTGCTGATGGGGTGAAGCGGCGGTGGTCTGTTGCTGCTGTTGCTGTTGTTGCTGCAGCTGCACCTGTATCTGGAGCTGCTGCAGCTGCGGCTCCGGCTGGTGCTGGTGATTCTGGTTGATGTGGAGTCCGAGCTCCGGACGTTCCTTACCGACCGACTGATAGCCCGACTCGGTCGTGTAGCTCAGGCCCAGTTTAGAGGTGCTGAAATGTTGAGGAGCTGCCGTGTAGTGCCTGAACAAACATTCGTAATGATATTAGGCACAGCAATAAACAAAACTGGGGGCGATCGCTCGATTCTCAAACGAAACCGTCCGATGCTAGCGGTCTACAAAAAATGATACGATACCTCACCAACTGACCATTAAATGTAGCTTTAGCATTTACTAACGTTAAGAATTATGTTGCAAAAAGAGTTAGAAGGTATGAAATGTGTTTGAAGACTGCATCGAGTATCGAAATTTCTAGGTGTAGTCGTGTAATCTTTATATCTTAAATAGTTAGATTGAAAATAAAGCAAATAAAATAGTGCTCACTAATGGGCGGTAGCGCCCACATTGGGAACCTATAGTGTACATTATATACATAAGTAAACACTGAAATATATCTATTTTTTCAAATATTTTACTTTTCCCTACATTTCAGAAGCTCTTACCAAAGTATATGGCAACAGATATTTCTATACGAGCCACATAATGAACTATTCGAGACTTAGATAATAAAACCTCTTAATACCACACGCAAATCGAATTCCTGGTAAACTTCTCAGGTTACAGCCTACCGGCAGAAAAAAAAAATGTAGCCAAGCACGATTTCTTGCGTAATTGAAAGATTTTTCAAAGACCAACCCGTCAATCTTTCAACCTGTCAGCAAAACTGAACTCAATAGCAATATCGGACAAGTAACGTACGAGTAGGAGCGTATCGCGTGTGAACATCGAGAGCAGCTCGATTCGAGCGCTCACCTCGTGGTATCGAAACCCCTGGTCAGGGCCATGCTGTGCTCTGGGAAAGGATCGACGCTCGGTTCGACTGGAGTGGTCATCTGACCGGCTGCGTCCTGGCCGATTCCGCTTCCGGCCGAGGCAGGCGAGTGCAACGATTCCTCGAGCAGATCGTTACCGCCGTCCTCGGCTGGTAACCTCGGCAGAAACAGATCCGCCGCGTCGCTGAGACTCTCGAGCAACGCTGTGTGATCGGAGGGCGAGCTGAAGGTCAATGTGGCGGTGAACTGAAGAGGATCCACCACTGCTCCAGTCACCATGTCCACCATCATACCGGTGTCGGTCATGTCGTAGGCGCCGTATTGTCCCGACAATAGATCGTTCGGTTGGATCTTGTACGGGGACAGATCCTCTTCCTCTTTCAACGTCAGACCATAGGTGGCGCACACGTTCTGCAGAAGGGAGTACTGTTTCCCTTCTTGGGCGTTGTACTGCGAGTGCTGGGAATTCACGTCCTGTTGACCGGTGTCGCATTCCATACCGACCGTCGGCGACGGGGTCAGGTAGCCGTTTCCTGAAACGACGATGATTCGTTATGCTTTGTTAGCGTACGATCATGAGGATGTGGACGGAAAAATAAAAAAGATGAAAATAGTGAATCACGGGGATATGGAAAGTAATGGTATTTTAGAATCATTTAAATTGGAATATCTCCTGAACTACTAACTTTTCGACATACATAGGTTAGTACTTTTTTTATAACGAATGTCCAGTTGCATCGATTGATGTATTCAAAAACAAAGTTGACCTTTATATAACCTTCACGCGTCCACTCACGAAAAAACTAATAACATCAGAATATGCTCCACTCGATACCATTCAAGCCTCCGCTGAAACATTTTTAGCTACGAGTAACAATAGCGAGAAAATCAATATGTCAAAATCGGGCGAGACACCCTGTATAGCCGTCACAGTAGCATATCCCCTTAAAGCGAGAAAATGAAAAAAACCTCGTCCCGGAATCCCGTGAAATCTCTCACCTTGCGTGCTGTTGTACTGATTGGCGAAATTGGCGAGATTGTTGCCGCCCTTGAGGGATTCGTAGAAGGGTGGCAACGAGCCGGTGGGCGGCGAGCTCGGTCCATAGTTCCCACGTCCTCCGTTCCCGCCTGGATTCATTCCACCGCCGCCGGCGCCTCCACCCACGGCTCCGCCGCCCCCGCTGCCCCCCGTGACCGCGCCTCCTCCGCCACAGTAGCCGCCGCTACCGCCTGAATTCGTCGACGAAGTGTTCCCGGAACCACCGGAACCACCGCTGGACCCAGAACCGCCGTTGTTGCCGGAACTCGACGATCTACCGTGGCCAGCGGCCGCGTGGACCACCTGAGGACCGGAGAGTCTCATCGCCAGCAAAGGCCTAGCGATCGAATTGCCTATTGTACGGGAGACCTTCGCGCCCTCGCGGCCTCGTTCCTCGTCCTCCTCCTTTCTCTTCGGCACCGCGTAGTCGATAGGCTGCTCCTGGCAAAAGAAACAAGACAATGTTAGTTTGTATCCCCCTTTCGTCGTCCGATTAACACCAACGGTTGCCGATTCATATTCATGAAATTCAGCTCGGCGTGTCGAGAGGGAAAAGTACGGAACGGGAAAGTCCAGGCTGCACAGACGCTGGTTTTACTCCGCTAACCGCTTTTGTCGAAGGACGACGCGACGGGTTTGCTGGTATTCTTTGAGAATTCGCGGAATGCCCTAGTCTAGGATTGTTTATGGTTATCCTCGATTAGGTATTGGGGAATCTAGTGGCTGAGGGTTGGGCGTGGAAAGCGATTGTTGATCGTCGAACTTGAAGACACGTTTGAAAATTTACTGGGTATGCTAATGATGTGTTGATGAGCGCAGAAGTCCAGCGAAGGGTATGAAAGTTCGATTGGTTATATCCCCCTGGGTCCACCTTCTCTAATACAACCCTAAAATATTGGGCACACGTGTTGTTTCTATTGGCCGGTTGATGACTTCATTCTTCTGCGCAACGTGCGGACTATCATAGTACGTGTTTCAAAAAGGGTGATTCCATTTAAAAAGTAATATAAAAGTGATATAATCTATCAGTTATTGCTGTCAATTATATCAATCCATCAGTTTACATTTACAACCTAAAGATTCGACGAGAGTGCGTTCGAAGGACACCCCAATTATCGATCGAGGACCCAGGTGAACTTCACGTAATACCCTTGAAAAAAAAAAAGAAAAAAAAAAAGAAAAACAAGGGTTACCTGTTCCGGTTCCTGAGTCTGCGGCACCTCAACCTTGTCCTCTCGCCTGGACGTTGATTGGCTCTGCGGCGGAACCCTCTGGATGACCGAGACCCTGGTGGGGGGCTCGACTCGCGGTGTCTTTGGCGGGGTGGTCGGTCTCGGCAGCACCAGCTTCTCCGATTTCGCGAGAAATTGCGAAGAAGCATCGCTGGACGAGGGCGCGATCGGCGGGCTGCTGTACTCTTTACGTTCCGCCCTTGTCAACACGTGACCCCTGCTACCGTACGGCACGTCGCCGCCGAGGATGCTCGAGATAAATCGTCTCGGGGGTGTGTTGCTGGGCGTGACGCTCGACTGCCACTGCGGGGGCGGCGACGAGGCTGGGCTTGTGCTGCGTAACGACTCCGGGGTTGTCGCGCGATCGTCGTCCGTTTTCTCGCGATCTGTGGCAACAGAACATGTTTTTCTTGTTTAGTAATAATAATGATAATAATGATCATCAAGTACCATGACGCCTTGAAGACGGCTTAAAGGCGCCTCAGACCTAAAATAGCCGTAAAATAGGCGTCTTCAAGGCGTCATATTCTATCTGCGTTATGTCTAGCCGAATAGAATGTTATAGATGAAGAAACGTTTCGTTGATGCAAATCCGCGTTAGTGTGGTGTCTGAGGGTTAATTAACCCTTGAAAGGCGGACAGTTTTAATGGCGTGGGTCCGTTTTGACCCTCGTCCATCATTCCTCCCAATGTATTTTTAATCATATTTCTTTGTGAATTAGCCCTTTTTTAGTTGAATTAATATAAACAATATACTAATTTAAATTAGTTATCGGAAGCTGTCGAGTCAAAATTACCCAATCATCGTGCTTCGAGGATTAATGGCAAAATTATTCGAATAATAATTTTATCCACATTATATTCATCCCATTTATATTCATTTTTTGGTCTTTTTGAAACAGTAGGGAAATTAAGTTAACGCATTCACCGTCGCACCAGTCACCGGTGACCAAACACAGAGAATTATTCGCGTTCACGCCGCGTAAGTCCCCGGTGATCGACACGGAATACGAATTCAAATGTAACATAATACCGTCGGCGTGAACGGAAAGTCAGCCGAAATCGGCTCTGCCGTTGGTGAACGTGTCGAATAAAATCAGTGTGGAAACAAATAAAATCCGTGCATTTAACTCTGGGATTCTCAGAAATTGCAGTTTATCGTTCACTATCACTGAACCAATTCAGTGTACCGTAAGTTGGGGGTAACTTTGTCCCAAACTGAAAAAAATGTTCGTTTACGATTTTCCAGACGTTTTTATGCGAAACACATTTTCACGTATAAAACAACGTAATCTCTTCAGGGACGAATTTAAACAATATACATGTACTATCGAGTAATCGAAACTGATTCCATCATCCTTTCTTCCAGGGTGGTATCGTAAATATTCCCCAGAGAAAGCACCAGAGAGGATGGTACTCATTGCAAAGATGTACAAATGTCACGAAACAAAAACAAACGACCATCAACGTGTGTCCCACGCGAACTCGAGGCTCGTAAGGAGATTCAGACTCGCAAATAATATAGTCCGTCAGCCCACGACTGCGACGAAACTTCGGTGTTCGACGGGTCTGGAATACGTAATGAGCGGAACGGTTATAATATGGGCATCCGTGGGGGCCGCTTGTGGTACCCTGAATTTACGAGCAACCTTGAGAGGGTTCGTGGGTACCGTATGGCCACCACGCTCTTTCCGCGCGTCCTTCACGCGTCGCGCCTCGTAATTCGTCCTCCAAACGATACATGTATATCCCCCGCGTACAATGTAACCCGCCATTAAAATCCGCTCGACAAAACCGCGTGACCGGCTCCCCGTAGGTGGTGAAGGGCATACCACGATTCTCGATGTTTTGCAATCCTCCGAGGCCCCGGTTCAATTACTTGCTTTCTCGATTCGTTTCGAAAACGGGGGAACCATTACGTTTTCTCGTTGGTGATCGTTTTATCGCGGCCGATCATAAAATGGGGGACAGTATACAGTGAGAGTCAAAACTAAGTACAGTGGGTAAAAAAAAGTATTCGTACACCCTTTGTAAACAGAATACCTCTTTCAACATTGGACCATGTGACTTGAGTTTCTTTGTGAAGGATTAGTATACTAGATGATGTGTTAGAAAAATTTTGAAAAAATTGCAATTGGTCTTTTTAATTTGGAATATTTAAATGTTTTCAAAACCAAGTCCATTCAAGGGGTCTTGCAGTGAGATCGTAACCCTAAATATACAACAAAGATAGTTAAAAATTGTTTGCTGGAAAATACTTTCAATCAGTTCTCCCACTGCAGCATCTGTGCAAAATATTCGATTGTAAATTGAGAGAAATAAATATGCACGAATTTTATATTTTCAAAGTGTATACTCACTTTTGACTCTCACTGTATGTATTCAGGTGTATACACGTTTCGAACGAAACCGGTGCGGTCATTTTTCATCGACGATAGATTTCGTTTCGTCATCGAGAACCTTGCGTCACTTCGGTCTGACGTAATACCTTCCGATACTACTGTTCCGAATGAATGGAACTGACACCAATTTTTGTGATTCCGTGCATCGGATTTTATTATCTGTGATACTTCCTCCAACGGTTTCCGGATGCCTGTGGACTTTCATTCGGTTGTAAAGGATGGAATGGTGACTCTTACATAAGCAACAGGAACGTTTAATCTCGAAAGCATTAAGAAGTCAAAGCACCGACCGATTCGGTAAACTGAAATAAAGTGTACTGGGCTCACTCACAGTGAACGCACAGAACGACATAGAACTACCAAAGCAGTCAAAACGACTGGTTAGTAGAATATTGTAACGATGATTAAAATGTTACCATTTTCTCAGATATTCCAGTAATTTCATTATAATATAAAATTGAAGAAATCGGTTAATTCAAGAGTTTGAATATATTTAAAAGGTTTGCATGATACAAATCTGACGGAAATAAATATACGTTCATCGTCGGTAGTTCCAGTATTAAAATAAACAAAAAAATTATATAAAGCAATAAAACATTTCACGACACAAAGGTTACACAATAATTCGAAAAAAGTTGCTCTCGCTGCCTGCAACTTTCTTTCAATAGGCTGCAATCACGCGCAAAGGTCATCTCTCGACGCAAATAGAATATCCCTCGACGGAGAACGAGCCCCGTGTGTATAATTCGCGGTACAATCGCGTTTCCAGCGAACCGGTGCGACGCGAACGAGACGACGAGAAGACCGCCCCCCCTCAAGGCCGAGCAATTACACGCAATCTCTCTGGAACCGCTCAGTTGCGTTCTCTTGACTTTGACACCGACTGTCGAGGCGCTTTCGCGAATGGAGCACGAGGACACCGTGTCGGAGCCCGTTCGAGCGGAAACCAGGAAACCGGCCCAGCCGAGGACACACACAACGCCGAGCTGTTTTTGCGAGCACGTGCTCGGCCCCCTAGAGTTTTCTATGTCGTTTATATGTGACAGTAAAAGCGTTAATTCGGTAAATAATTTCCTCGTCAATGTATGCACGTGGTAATTTGGTTAGTACAGTGATTCCTGGATAAATGCGACACGACTAACAACGTTATTCCCATGAGCGTAGTCATGGGGGACTGGACGCAAAAAATGGCTTTTGCCCCACTCTACAAGAAAAAAATTAGATTTTGCCCTGCCCCCATCCCTTTTAAGAGTTACAAAATTTTTGCGTAATATTTAATATTGCAGTATAATTTGAAACACGACCAACAGCATTAATCCCATGGGGACAAAGTGGCTTTTTCCCCACTCTACAAGAAAAAAAATTGGATTTTGCCCTCCCCCCTCCTGCCCAGAGTTACAAAATTTTGGCGTAATATTTAATATTGCAGTATAATTTGAAACACGACCGGCAACCTTCGTTAACAAAACGCACAAATTTTGAACGATTTATGACTTTAAAAATAAAATAAAGTGTGTCTGGCTACGTACAGCCATTTTCACTGAGCGCGTGTTCCTGTCGCGTAGCGTCTCAGGCAGCGTTCGCGAAAGCGTCTCGGCCCTGAAACGACCCAGGCCTTCCACGATTAGATTCGTGTATGGGCTCACTGGTTTTCGAGAAACGCTTCTAACGCTTTGTCGTCGTTTACGCAAGCGGTTGCGTCACACACGGACGACGGGGGCCCCCGAAGGTAACAGAGCGGCGACGGAGGAGAGGAACCAAAATGGCGTCGGCGGTTCCCCGGTTCGCGGTTGAGCAACCTTCGGGGCAAGCAAAAGAATCGACCGGTACGTGAGATTCTCCGACCGAATCCCTCGGAAACAGGTCCGACGGGGCCGCGCTATAAATACCGAACGTCGAGCTTCGTGACCGGTGTACCGATCCTCCTTCTTCGTCTATCCCCCTTTTCAATTGCTTCGCCTCGCTTCGTTTCTTCTTTCTTCGTCGAAGGAAGTCCCTCTTTGTCCCACGACTCGTTCTTCTTTCTCCGTCTTTCTCACATCATCTCTCGTTACTTCTTTCTCTCTCTCTTTACAGAGGAGAAGAAGAAGAAAGGGAGGCCGCGGGAGAGCGAGAAAAAGAAGTGAGAACCGGTACTTCGAGTCCACCGCTGGCGGCAGAAACGAGCTGTTGCTCCCCACTGAGACTCGAGTCTCCGGGTCCTCGAGCTTTCGAGCGGTTTAGCTGTATACCGGTCTCGTTCAACCGAGTCGCGTTATCGCGAGACTGAG